GCATTATACATGGCAAAATATGGTATGTCTTTCTGATTTTTGCTGTCATTATTTTACTGTTTTTCCTTATTGTTTTATAACTTAGTGCTATGTTCTACAACATTTTGGATTTAATTTTTGAAAAACCAAGTAGCAATAAAAAATCTAGCTATTTTAAGGACAGAGCAGAATTGCCACTTTTAGGTGAAAGCTCCCAGGAGAATACGCACTGAATGGAGTCTCTGGGTAACCTGTCTTACTTCCCTGGAAATTAAGTGACCTCTGGGCTAGTCATTGGGCAAGGTCATTAGCAAGTCATGGGAAACAAAGGACTCACCACAGGATATCAGTCAGAGCAGCAGCATGGGCCAAATGCTGGACATTGGGCAGGAATATGGTCAGAGGGGATGGGTCACTGTATTTTTTGTTTGTGAGCTTACCGTTGTCTACATCAAAGTTTTAGGAGCAGAGAATTCTGTGGGGTGAGTTGAGCTGATCATATGTGGCAGGGAATGGGAGGGGACATAGAGGGGAGAGTGGGAACTTAATCATCACATAGTCCAACAAGCCAAATATACTGGAGAATTGGGTAGAGGTTCAGCAGCGTCCTCGGGTCAATGAAATGGAACAATGGCAGTGGATTCTTGCTGATAAGAACCTTCATCATGTCTGGCCTGTGAATCACATGGCTATGGTTTGGACAGATCACCTTTGATTCCTGGTGACCAGGAGTCATCCTGGAAACTCCTTTTGATGGATAACTTTGTCTCTTTCCTGGCTGGATCTCATGTTTTTGTATCCTATTACATCATCTTAGCTTACTCATATCTTTGGTAGAGAATACATTCTAGTAACTTACTCTAGTAACTTATTTTGAAAGAGTACATTTTTAATATTCTCATTCTAAAAAATTTTTTACTTTATATTCTTTCCCACACTCAAACTATATGGTCAGAGGGTTGAAATTTTATTTTCATCAGGTTTTGAAGGCAGCTTTTTCAGATTTGAAGCCACATAAATGGAGCTTTCTGGGTTTTTGTTATATTGGTTCTCTTGGGAGATAAAAGTAGGCATTCTTGGAACTTTGAGTCATCATTATTACCTTTTTGGTTTGTTACAGTTTGGTACATATTGCATTTTGAGAACAAAAAGGGGAAAATAAATGAAATAATCTTGCACATGTGACTCTGGGTGAGGGAACTTAATACAACATTATAGTATATCTTCAGGGTATATATGAGGTTTGTCCAGAAGGTATCTAGCCATGTAAAATGAAAAATAGAGACATTTATTGAAGAAGATAGAAGACACAAAAAAACAGTGTACATATGACAATGAAGTCTCAGTCCCCTGCAAAGTAGTCACCTTGGGACCTCACTCAGTTCTTCCAGTTGCCATCAGCTGCCCCATCGTATTTTTCTGAATTTCATCGATGGTCTGAAATCTCTTCCCTTTCAAAGGTGGCTTTAGTTTTGGGAAAAGCCAGAAGTCACAGGGCACCAAATCTGGGCTATGGAGGGGCTGAGTCACCTGGGTGATTCGATGTTTTACCAAAAAAACTGCATGAATGATGTGATGCATGAGTGGGGGCGTTGTTGTGATGAAGCTGCCAGTCACCCATAGCTGCAGCCTTCTGAACCATCCAAATAGTTTCCATGGAGGCATGTTCAAGCTTAATGTAAAATTTGATGCAGATTTGTTGCGCTACTCCATCATTTTGAGTGCAACGGCCACACAATACAGATGTTCTCTCAACGGCATCTACCACCCCCCACTGACTAGTACAATGAAGTTGTCGTCATTCACACATGCACATTCCAGTCCGCTATCCTTGGCTGCAAAGTTAAACTGATTTTGTGCAAACCATTCTTGTTATAGTAACAACGGCTGGACTTTTTCTGGACAGACCTCGTATTTATAAGCACATTATAAGATCAAGGGTAGTTTTTATTGTCTGACGTTTGTGTGTGTGTGTATGAAATTTTTAAGTACCTCCTTTCTCTTCAACGCTAGCTTCTCTGTCCCATTGATGTAACCAGTGTTAATAGTATATTTTTTCTCTCTCTTTTTTTGAGATTCAGGTTGCCCATCCTACCCTCATTTCTACATGTAAGGCTAGTATGAGCTATATTAAGATGTACTGTGTTTTGCCATGTTATGATGCACACTTTTTTGCCCAAATTTTTGAAGGTAAAATAAGGATGCACATTATACATGAGTATAATGATTACAAACCATGGGTATAATAATGGGTGTAATAATCCTGTGTATAATGTCTAGAAAAACGTGGGTGCTCATTATACATGGAAGCACATTATACATGGCAAAATATGGTATATTCCAACCCTGGCTGATGTTGCAATACTCACATAACTATGGCCCACCATTTACTTTGTACCATGATTTGCATGGTGATAACTGTTCACACATAAAAGTGAACATGTTAAGTGTAGGCTTTGACAAACATGATGTAAAGACATCATGTAAGTGTGTAGTGTATTCTAAAAGGATTTCTTAAGTACCACTACCTATGTTAGTATTTTAAGACTTTTTTCATTTTACAAATACTTTCAAATATGTATCAATTAAGTGTTTCATGTAGGTACACTAAATATATTTCTTTTAAAGTTTTTTTTTAAAAAACTTTATTATGGAAAATTTCAAACATTCACAGGAGAAGAAAAAAATAGTATAAATTCCAATGCATCCATCACCTGATTGAGCAGAAAGGAAGAAGGACTCATAGATATGCACAACAGTGTGGTGATTATAGAGGGTGGTGGGAGTATAAGGGGGACAAATGGTAATGGAAAAAATACAGTAAAATAAGTTTAAATATAAAATAAATTAAAAAATCATCAACATTTAAAAATGTCATCTATTTATTGAAGAAACCAGTTTCTTTGGGTTTGGCTGATTGATTATGGTATTTTTAAACTTGTTCCTCTAACCCTTGTATTCTTACAAACTAGTTGTTAGATATAGAGGCTTGATTATATTCAGGTTCAATTTTATTTTGACAAGAGTATCTCATAAGTGGTGCTGTGTACTTTCTATTATATCACATCAGGAATCACATAAAGTCCTATTATCTTACTATTAGTGATAAGATTTGAGGTCAGTGGAGTAGGTATTGTGAATTTGACTCTTTATAGAGTTTCTCAGGTACATTTTACATAATAGTTATAGCAGCAACTCCACACATATTTCTTAATCCGAGTTCAGATTATAAAATTAATGATGGTTATTATGACTTTCACTTTGTTTCCTCCTTCATAATTGAATCATTAACAAATGAAAGAATTTCATGTAGTGATTCAGAGCTTGACTAATGAACTTGCTTTTAGCCCAGGTAATTTGCAATTTAGGGTACATTTGATTTAAATAAAATTTGAAGCCTTTGTTTCTTAGTTAAATGCTGTTTTTTCCTCCTTATAAAAATAGACATTAGCATTGAATTGTTTAAAAAAATTACAGAGATTACAGAGAATGTGACTGTATTAGAACCAGAAGGAATTTTTCACTCAACGTTGACTGTTTCACTTTAGATTATTATAAACTGTTGCTTTGTAAGGTTTTGCTGTGGTTAGTTGTGAAAACCATAAAGCAAAGGAAGGCAGTGCTGGATTCTAGATTCAGGGTGGTAGCTAGCTCTGTTGGGAAAAAGGAGGATGGAGATTGATGAGAGGCATACAGGAGACTTGAAATGTATTGGTGGTAGTCTTGTTTAGGCTGGTGTTTGTTTTATTTTTTTATTCTTTAAAGTTTACGTATGTTTTTATAATATATACTTTATTTCACAATTAAAAAGAATAAATGGACTTATTTACTAACAATTTGAAGTATTTCTCAAATGTTCGATTAAATCTTAAACATAAAAATTGTGTCTCTACAATAACATCATAAAATGTGTAGCTTTTTGTCGAAATAAAATTGAACCTGAATATAATCAAGCCTCTATATCTAACAACTAGTTTGTAAGAATACAAGGGTTAGAGGAACAAGTTTAAAAATACCATAATCAATCAGCCAAACCCAAAGAAACTGGTTTCTTCAATAAATAGATGACATTTTTAAATGTTGATGATTTTTTAATTTATTTTATATTTAAATTACAAAGTAATATCCCTAATACAGGGCAAAAATTAAAGGGTTATTATATATCTTATTTGAAATAATGTGTTTTTAAGGTCATTCCTTAAAAAATTATATTTAACATTATCTTGGCATTCTAAGTAACCATAAAAGATGGCTGATGATGTGTCAAGATGGAGAAAAGTAGTAAGTTGAACATGTGCAACTTCCCATTCTTAGTTATAGACTGGTTTACTTGAGAATACCCAAGTTTAGTGCTCATTCTCTATCATTTTTGTGTAGTTGATTCTAGACCCTTAATAGTACCCACTAAATTTTTTTTTAATATCAAATAAGTTGATGAAATCATGCTGGTGCCATGTGGGGTCTATAGATTGTGTCTGGGTTTCCATGGAAGGCATGGTGATTTAGCTTAGATGGTCTGCATTTGGGCGCAACTGAGGGAACTTCTGGGGGAACAAAATCACTCAAGTCTTCTTGAACCTTGCCATTGAGCCTTGTGCTTGTCACATTTTAGCTGACCAGAGAGCAGATTAATCTTGAATTATTCTGGGTATTTGGTCAGATATTTTGAATTGTGTATTAAATAGGGGGTTTAAAAGAAAATACTCTTCTTAAAAGGAACCCTTTAATAATAAAGATTTAAAATTTTGTATTGAATTAAGTATTTTCTGAAAATCTATTATTGTAATCACTGTGCCTTCCAATTTAAAATTGCTACAGTGGTTTTAGAAACTACCTTATAATTCTGGAAAAATGAATTGTATTTCAGTTATATATTAGAAGTGACATGTATTTGGCAAATAAGTGTTTTTCTTGTTACATGGAATGATAATGTAAATGATTTTTAAAATTTAAATGTAACTTAAATAACGAACCTGTTCCCTCCCCCTTTAAAAAATTCTTTTCTTGAAAAATTCCCTTAGGTAACAGAAATTCAAGACTGGAGTGCATCAAGCCCACATAGTGCAGCATACGTTCTCTGGGATAATGGTGCTAAGAACCTTTACAGAGTTGGTTTTGAGGGCATGGTAAGTAGTAAGAACCACAAAAGAAAAAATTGGATGGATGAAGGAAAGGAAGTAATTGTATTCTTTTTTTTTTTCTTTTGTCATCTCTTTTTGTCAGAATACAGCCATCTGATTCATCATGAATATGCAATAGGAGGGGAATCTATAAATTGACAATTTAATAAACTTTACGTTTTTACTACATTTGTTTGAACTATTTAATAGTCAATCTAACAATCTTAAGATTTGGAACTATCTGTAAGGCTGCTCCTTGGCATGGACATGGAAAATAGTATTATAGTGAGACTTTTATGGTATTTTTGTATTCTAGGCTTTGATAGCTGATAAAAATATAAATTACAATAAGTGTTAAAATTACTATTTTTTAAAAAATTTTGTTTTTGAAGGTTACCCTAAAGTTTATTTTAATAATAAAGTGTAATAGTAATTGTATAATTAATACATACATTCAAGCATTCTGTTTTATGTTTCTAAAATATAGAACTGCCCCTTTTGCTTTCTTTTTTTATATTACAATATTATTGACCGTATTTCCGATGCTTTGCTTTACAATTCCCATGACTATTTTGTAACTACTGAGCTGTACTTTTCAGTCCCTTCACCTTTTTGACCCAGTCCCCCAATGAAAATTATTTTTAAGGAGATTTTTTTTCACTGTATTTTGAAAGTGTAGTGTTGATAATTGAAAATGATTGACCTGAAAACACTTTGAATTACTTAAGTGCTTAGGAGAATAGTGGTGGTTTAGTCAGTGGATTGCTCTGTATTTCTGCACTTCATGGATTATTGTTCAAATGTTGACCTCAGCTATTTAATTTATAGAATATAATTAAATGTTATATTTATGCCAACATATGCCTTTTTTATTCTTTACATCTTGAATATATTCCTCATTCAAAAAATTCTTTAAATTTCATTTTTTTCCAACTGTTTTATACCCCTCATTAGAAAGGGAAAAATATTCCACTGTTGTTTTGTCTTGATTTATTCTATTTATGTATAAAAGCCAGCCATGTGAGTCTAAACACATAGCCAATATTTATAATTGTATACATACAGATTATCAGTTTCTCATTACCTTCATGCCTGTCCATTTTTAAACTGTGGATTTTTATAGGATTCCGACGGATAATTAACTTGCTTCAAATGAAGTTTTATGTGCTCAATGTACTCGGGTATTTAATAAGTTTTATGTATGTATATATAATACATATACAATATATGTATACTCATATTTTTTTTATGGCTGAGTAGTACTCTTTTGCATAGTTATGCAATTAATTATATAATGAGATTTCTATTGATAGGTGTCTCTTTTGTTTTTTTTCTTCCAAGCAGTGCTTCAGCAAGTATCCTTGTACATGTGGCTACACGTGTATTTCTGTAGGGTATACTACTAGCAGTGAATTTGCTGGGTTTGAGTATCACACTAAAACAATTTGACCCCTGTGTGTTTTTGGTTAGGATTTACCTAAATGTGATGCTCTAATGACAGAATAGCTATAAAAGAGTTTGGTTCTCTCCCTCTCTCTCTTTCATGTGTGTTTGTATGTGTAAAGGAGCTCCTTTCCTTAGTAGAGTAAGTATACACTAATCTCCTATTTATATCAGGTACTATTAGGCACTTTTAATGAAATCTACTTCTAAATTTTCACAGTAGCCTCCACGGTTGCTTTTCTAAATTCACATTTTCTGTACTTTTTCATGATATGACCACTGCCGTCCCACTCAGATACTTAAATAATCATTTATTTTCTTGTATGAGCAAAGTTAACTACGTCATGGTGAAGTAAGGATTAAAGTTGATGTAAATAGGAAAATTAATTGGACAAGAAATCAAAAGACCGTGTTTAGTTCTGTATCAAAATTGTAGAAAGAGCAAATGAATTGAGTTCTTTTTTTGGTAAAAGTATCTATAAAATGGAAGGTGTTATGTACATTTTAAATATTAGGTAGTTGTTACAGTTCTTTTTTTTTTTCAGCATGTGTTTCTGAAAATACTGTAAGGATCAGGTTTATAGTTTTTGAGGGGTGCTTTTGAAAGCCATGTTAAGAGTGACTTAACCCAGACCTACTCTTGACTTCTGCTGAGGGTATGTTCTGAATGAACATTTTTGCCTATTTTAGTTATATACTTGATGTTTTCAAGGGTGATTTTTTTTTTTTTTCCTTCTTAGTCTGATCTGAAGTGTGTTCAGGATGCCAAAGGAGGTTCTTTCTACAGAGATCATTGCCCTGTGCTAGGTGAGTTAGCAGAGTAGAGAAAATTACTAAATAATGGGTCAGAATTCTTGGAATCAGAAAATGTTTAAATTAGACTTTTAAAAAATGTGTTGCCATTAAAGCTGTTTGAAGAGATACTTTTTTGGTTTTATTTTGCTTTTAAAGAATTTGTTCTTTTTAAATGATTTATGTAGGCACTAAATTTTCATAGCTTTAGATTTGACATACCATTTATGTCATAATATATTTGAAACTTGTCTGTTAATCATGAACTTATATTGTTGAAAAATTTTGTTAGATGTTACATCTTTTATACTATTGAGAATAAATGGATCTGACCATTTAAGCTTATGAAATCCTTAGAATTTCTGTAATATTGCCTTTGTAATATAAGAACAGCCCCAAGATTAAGGTAGTGTAATGAATAAAATTTCACATCGTTAAAATAAAAAAGAGCAAGAAAACCAAAACTATCTTCATTTTATCGATTCTTTATTCTTGGCATTATGAACATTTACCACACTCTTCTGATTAAGCCTTTAGTTTCTCTATGCTTTCATTCTCATGCGAACTCTGTGTTCTTTCCAAATCACTGGATTTGCCTTTTTGCTAAAAAGTGCCCTTTTCTTGCATGATATTTTATTAAAAAAGGAGAATGTGGAAGGCATACTTACGTTCTTGCTGAGAGCTTCCATTTCTCCTGGTATTAGAAACTTTCTTGTTTTGTGTCTTGCCTTCACAAGAAAAATAAGGAATCAACATACACATTTGAATACCCCATTGTAGTGTTTCATGATCATGCATCCTTTATTCCAGAACTACCTTTGAAAATAATGTAGGGAATGGGCTTTGAAATCTTTCAAAATGCTCTTAAGGTAAATACCACAAAAACCATTGGTAAAAAATAGTACTCAGCACTTTAGAGAAAAAAGTAGTTTCAGGGTTTTTTTTCCCATAAGCTCTAGTTAGTTATCATAGTTCTGTTACAGTGATAGTCAGCAAGCCATCCATGCAGAAAAGTGAATATTTTCAAACTCTAGAACTTTTGTGTTCTGATAGACGGTTGTATAGTCTTTTATAAATTTTATTTCTGTTCAGTTATCATTATAAATCTTTACATTATTTCAGTCTTTGAGCCTGATGTTTATTTTTTCTTTTTTTAAAGCTTTTTAGTTCTAGAATTTGATACATTATCTTCTCAAAACATTTTAGATTACATGGTAATTGAAACTAAAAATCTAGGGCCTTTTCTTGTTTAAAAATAATGTAGTTGCACATTGTTGCTGTGACTTTCCTTTTCCATTGTCAACTCCCTCTGCAATTACAGGTGAGCAGAATGGCAACAGGAATCCTGGTGGATTGCAGATTGGTGACCTGGTAAATATAGATCTTGACCTAGAAATTGTACAGTCTTTACAGCACGGTCATGGAGGATGGACTGATGGCATGTTTGAGACTTTAACTACAACTGGAACTGTTTGTGGCATTGACGAAGATCATGATATTGTAGTACAGTATCCAAGTGGCAATAGGTTGGTGATATTTCTTAATTTTCAGTGAAGAGATTTAAAGAAAACAAATTATGTGATATAGCCAAAAGACTGCTTAGCCCTGGCTGGTGTGGCTCAGTGGATTGAGCACCCTCCTGGGAACCAAAGGATCACCGGTTCAATTCCCAGTCAGGGCACATGCCAGGGTTGAGGGCCATGTCCCTAGTAGGGGGCGTATGACATGCAACCACACCTTGATGCATCTCCTCCTCTTTCTCCCTTCCCCTCTGTTCAAAAATAAGTAAATAAAATTTTTTTTTTTAAATAAAGACTGTTTAAAGGTAGCTCTCAGTACCTCAGTAGGTAAAAATCCAGAATATTTTGGTGAAGTAGAGAGGAACAAATGGCAAGAAGTATGTGTGTGTGAATTTATATGAATATCTTTATGTTACAGTGTTCTGTGACTTTTTTCCTTCAGAGAGTAGAATATATCATATCATCATTAGGTCCAAGTTTAGGAAAAAGTTCTGTGTTCATAACTGACTGTATCAGTCTGTCCTGAATGAGGATAAAATTAAAACTCTTTGGGCCCATATCTCCAGTATTATATTTTGGTAACACAGCTCTCCCTGCCACAGACACATGCACACACACTAATCCTTATCAGCAACATAGAATTGTATGCATTCCCACACACATACCATTCCCTTCATGCAGAATACCCTTTCCTCCATTTTTTCCTTTTTTTCTGGATTAACTCATCTGCATTCTATAAATATTGAGCTTATACAGTTTAGGAACCTGTCTCTCCTTCTGCCCTCCTCATGTATGCACACATTATTCATCTGTTTAGGTTTCCTGTTATCTATTAAAATGTTCATTTGATCTCTAGATTGTGAGATTTTTGGAGACTGGGCCTGTGCCATTTATTTATTTATTCATTTTTAGAGAGTTTAGAGAGGGAAAGGAAGGGAGAAGGACAGGGAGAGAAACAGATGTGAGAGAGAAACATCAATTGGTTGCCTCGTATAAGTCCTTACCAGGACTAAACCCACAGTCCAGGCATGTGCCCTGACCAAGAATTGAACCGGCGACCTTTCGTTTTGTGGAATGACTCCCAACTAACTGAGCCACACTGGTCAGGGTCCTGTATCTTTTATATATTTGCTCTTAAGGATCAAAATATGTCTAATTTACCTGTATGTTTATGGTATTTTAAAGAAAAAGCAGTAGTTAAATATTTGTCCAATTTTATACTGACATGTACGTAAATTTTCTTTTTTTCTTTAAAATTTTTTCAATTACAGTTTACATTCAGTATTACTTTGTATTAGTCTCAGGTATATAGCATAGTGCTTAGTCAGTCATATACTTTCCAAAGTGTTTCCCCCAATATTTCCAGTACTCACCTGGCATCATACGGTTATTAGAATATTATTGACTGTATTTTCTATGCCATATTTTAAATTCCTGTGACTATTTTGTAACTACCAATCTGTACTTCTTAATCCCTTCATCGTTTTCACCCAGTTAATCCTGAGGTTCTTTACAGGAGGGGATCATATAAGGAATAAGACAAATTAACATTAAGTTGCTCACCAAAATATAGAATTTGCTCCGTGTTCAAGTCTTATATACATGGTCATGTCAAGAGATAGAGAAAAAGCATTTGACAAAAATCGAAAACCCTGTTAAACACCCTGATAAAAACTAATAACTAGGAACAAAAGGGAACTGCTTAGCCTGATCAAAAAGCATATATGAAAACCCCACAGGTAATGTACTCAATGATAAAAGACTAAATGCTTTTCCCTTGAGATCAGGAATAAAACAAGATTGTCTGTTTTCCCCACTTCTCCTCAGTATTGTTCTAGAGAGTCCAGGTGGGACAGTTAGGCAAGGAAAAAAAAAAAGGAGGAAGAGAAAAGAAGTGAAACCATTTCTGTTTACAGATGATATGATCTTGTTTATAGAAAAACCTAAGGAATCCACAAACTATTAGAACTAATAAATGAGTTCAGCAAAGTTGCAGAATATAAGATTAAAAGAGAAAAATAATTTGTATTTCTTTACACTAGCAATGAAGAGTCTGAAAATGAAATTAAGAAAACAACTCCATTTACAGTAGCATCACAAAAAATAAAATACTTAAGAATAAATTAGCCTGAAAAAGTACAAGATTTATACACTGAAAACTATAAAACATTGTTGAAGGAAATCTAAGAAGACCTAAATAAATGGAAAGACATCTCATGTCTATAGGTTGGAAGATTTAATATTTTTTAGATGGTGTATTAGTTTCATAGGGTTACCATAACAAATTTCCATGAAGTGGATTAAAACAACAGAAACTTATTTTTTAACAATTCTGGAGACAAAAAGTCCAAAGTCAAGGTGTTGGCAAGATTGGGCTCTTTTGGAGGACTCCTAGGGAGAATCTGTTCCATGCTTTCTGGTGATTGCTAGCAGTCGTTGGTATTCTTTGACTTTTGTAGATGTACTGCTTATTTCTCTTCCTATGTCTTTACTGGTCTTCTCCCCTGAGAGTTGATGTGTCATTGTGTCCTCACATGACCTTTTTTTTTTTTTTCCTGAGTACAAATTATATTTTCATATACGTTCAAAGTAGGGAAATAATTTGAGACTGATAGCCACATAAATAATCCTTCAGCCCACTATTTTATTTTTGTCAAGCCAACATTTGTAGCTTAAACATCCATGAGGAAAGAACCCTGAGAAAGACATAGAAGGAAATTAATTGAGCTCCTTGAAATTCTAAAGTTTCTTTACATACAAAATAATCAAAAGCTGTTTTTACAAGACTTTTGTATAAGGACAGCAGTCAATTGGATTTAGGGGGCACCCTAATTTAGTATGGCTTCAATTTAATTTGATTACATCTGCGAAATCCTGTTTCTAAATATGGTCACATTCAGGAAGCATCAGGGATTAGGATGTTAACATATCTATCTTTTGTGGGGGGAACATAATTCAACCTATAACAGGTGGCAGTATTCCCCAAACTAATCAACAGAGACAGTGCAACCCCTATCAAAATTCTAGTGTCCTTTTTACAAAAATTAGCAGACCGATCCTCAAATTCATATGGAAATTCAAAGGTTACAGAATAGCCAAAACAATTTGAAAGGAAAGAACAAAGTTTGTAGGACTCACACTTTCTGATTCCAAAATTCACTATAAAGCTATAGTAATCAAACAGTGTATTACTGGCGTAAGAATAGACATATAAATTGATGGACTAGAATTGAAAGTTCAGAAATAAGCCCTTGTATTTAAGGTCAGTTGATTTTTGATAAGAGTCCAACACAGTTCAGTGAGGAAAGAACATTCTACTCAGTGCTGCTGATAGTATATACAAATAACAAGTTGTTATGTTGTACACTTGAAACAAATACAATGTCAATTATATGTCAATTTAAAAAATATAAATAAAGCTACAATAAAAAAAGTAAACAGTGCTGAGTCAACCAGGTATCGGCATACAAAAGAATGAAATTGCACCCTTGTGACACACCATACAGAAATATGAGTCACAGGTTTAAATGTAGGAGCTAAAACTATAACACGGTTAGAACAAAACATCTGTGTTTATCTTTATAACATTGGATTAGACAGTGGTTTCTTAGGTATGACGCCCAAAGCAGGAACAACCAAAGAAAAAGTGAATGAATTGTACTTCACCAAAATTAAAAACTTTTATGTTTCAAAGGAAACTATCAAGAAAATGAAAAGATAACCTATGGAGTGAGAGAAAATATTTTCAGATCATATGTCTGATTAGGGACTTGTACAGTTCAATAATAAAAACCAAATGAACAATTGAAAAAATGGGCAAAGGATTTGAATAGGAAAGAAGATATAGATATGACCAGTAAGCTTAATGTATTATACGCTAGGGCTGCCATTATAAAATACCACAGACTATGTGGCTTAAACAACTGAAATACATTTTTTTACAGTTCTGGAGACTAGAAATCTAAGATCAAGGTGTTGACAGGGTAGGTTTGTAGTGAGACCACTTCTTTGGCTTGCAGACAGCTACCTTCTCAGTATGTCCTCACATGGCCTTGTCTCTGTGCATGCTCAGAGAGAGGGAGATACCACCAGTATCTATCTCTTTCTCCTCTTGTGAGGTATCCAGTCCTGTTGGATTAGAGCATCACTTTCATGACCTCATTTAATCCTTTTTTTAAAACAGTAATAAATCATACCTCATTTAGCCTTAATTACCTCCTTAAAGGCCCTGTCTCCAAATACAGTCACATTAGGAGTCAGAGCTCAACATATGAATTTTGGAGGGACAATTCATTCTATACCCATGAGAAGATGATCGACATTTTTATTAGAGAAATACAATTCAAAACCACAAATGAGATAACCACTTCACATACCAGAATGGTTAGAATAAAAAAGTTAGATAATTACAAGTGCTGGTGAGATTGTAGAGAAATTAGAATCAACCTTCATACTTTGATGCTAGGAATGTGAAGTGGTCTAGATGCTGTGGAAAGCAGTTAGGTAGTTCCTACTCAGAAAAAAATAGAAAGTGATATCTATTCTTGACTTCACTTGACTTTACTTAATGAGTTCCTGAGTAGGAACTCATTAAAAAGCCAGGTCTATAATATAATCTCATGGAAGAAACATTGTATCCTCAAGAAGTCTAAAATAAAAGGACCAAAATTGCCAACCTAAAAAAAAAAAAAAAAAAAAAAAAGAAAAAAAGCAGTTAGGTAGTTCTTCAAAATGCTATATATAGAGTCACCATATGATCCAGTAGGTCCACCCCTGGGTATATACCTAAAAACCTGCCATGAATCTTTGTAGAAGCATATTCATAACAGCCTAAATGTGAAAATAACCCAAATGTCTCTCAACTGATGAATGGATAAACAAAATGTGCTATATCCATACAATGGAATATTGGATTATTATTTGGTCATTAAAAGGAATGGAATACTGACATATATTACAACATAGATGAATCTTGAAAACATCATGCTGAATGAAAGAAGCCTGTTGCAAAAGGTCATATGTTAGTTTATGTAAAATGTCCAGAATAAGCAAATTAATCAAGACAAAGTATATTACTGGTTGTCAGAGGAGGCAATGAATGTGGAATGACTGGTAATCATTATGGAGTATCTTTTTGCCGTGGTGAAAATGAATTTAAATAGTGGTGCTTGGTTGTACAACTCTGTGAATATACGAAAAAATCACCAAATTATACACTTTAAATGAGTATGATATGTGAATTACACGTTGATAAAGCTGTTAATAAAAAAAAAAGGAAAACTTAAATTCAGATTAGCATGTGCTAAAACATTTTTTATTAAATATTTTCTTGTTTAGAAATGTTAGCACAAATTAGGATTATTTATGAATTTTTTTCTTGGTCAAAATTCTTTCTTGGTGAGTGGTGTTAACAGTAATATTGACATTTAAGTTTTAGAAAATAATCTTTTATTTTTTATTCCACAAAAATTTACTGATTTATTAAGTATTGTGTTAGACCCTGGGATTAATGGTAGGACTACAAAGACAATTAAGGCATGGTCCCCTGCTTTGAAGGGATATTCCTTTTAATTTGGTTAGATGAAACCAAAAATAAGTATTAAAATGTTTCAAGTAATTATGATAGGTGAGCATTCTGAAGGTACAAAATAAGAGTGATCATTACAGCTGGACAAGTGATAGAAAAACTTTAGAGAGAAAATTACATTGTGAATGTTTGGAAGATCAATTCAGTTTTCACTAAGTCAGGGAAGCACTGTAGGCAGAGGTAAAAACTTAAATAAATATTGCTGTGTTGAGGCACTATAATAGGTCTAGGAAATTTTGTAATATTGAGTGAGATAAAGGATACTGTGACTGATAAGGCCAAAAAGGAAGCTTTGTGTATCTGATTTTTATTCTGAAGCTCTTCTTTCTCTTTATGGTGGTTTTACAAAGCAAAATGTACTAGTTATACGGGATTTAGTAAAAAGGTTTTTATATGTCGTGATCACTCAGGATCTTTTGTGTGCTAATGTCCATGTTATAAAAGCTTATTTGATTGGGGAAAACTTTTTTCCTTGGAGTGCCACGTGGGACTAGAAGAAGTGTGTTACATGTATTGTGGTACAACTATTTGATGAAATACATGTATTAAGTAGTCAATAAAATGGTGGTTGTTAAAATGGTAACAGCATAGAAAAATGCTTATACATAGGAAAGAAGAAATCAGAATCCAAATTTGTTTTACTACAGTGATTACAGTCATGAAAAATACCTGTGCACTGCAAATTAAAACTAAATACTATTTTTATCCATGAGATTGACAATGGTATGAGGAAATGGTATACTCTTTGTAGGTCAGTTTGGCTCTATCAGAATTGTAAACAAATTGCATACTTTGATTAGGTAATTCTTCCAAGAATCTCTAATGAAATACCGACGCCATGTGCACCAAGATGTACATAGATATTCTTTATAGCATTGTCTTTAATAGTGAAAATTTGGAAATACTTTAAATGATAGGACAGTGGTTAAGTACATTAGTGTATATTCATGCAATAGAATACTCTGTAGCCATTAAACTGAAATAAGTAGATCCATGTCTGTGACATTGAAAAGTAAATCTTCCAAGATTCATTGTCTGAGAAAAAAGAAACTGCAGAATTATATAATGATTACATTTATGGCAAAGAAAGCAATTTTTTCTACATTATAACTATCATTCAGCATATTGATAGATTTCCAAGGATACCCAATGGAATATTAACAGTGGTTTCTAGTGGGATGAAATGGAGAATGGTGATTCAGGTGTGTTTGTGAGAAATGGAACTGTTGTTTGTGAACAAAAATTCCTAGTCTGAGATGCAGGAAGAGGAGAACCTTTATTCAGGTGAACAGTTTGTAAATCTAGGAAATGCAGCTTCTGGTGGAAATCAAATGTGCTGTCTTTATAGAGAAAGTTCCTGCCCTGTTTTATGTGAATTTTATGCAAATGAGAAATCCAAAATGCACAGTTCTGATTGGTCCAAATGGCACTGTCCTGATTGGTCAGAATTGTTTATGCTGATTGGTCATTATGGGGCAACTCTGATTTGTCAGTGTAGATGCAAATGTTATAGCCACACAGTTCTGATTGGATGTGGCAGGTCTTAGTCCATTGGTCAGAAGATAATACTAGTATCTCTCTTGTAAGAATTGATGCAGAATTCAGAAACACAGTGCAGGAAGCTGGCCCCTTATTCTGTAGATTTTTCCTCAAATGAAAAGTGAGCAAGAGGCTGCTGTTAGCACTGGCTGCTAGACTTGGGCCCATTTAACCCCGAGGAGTCCTTCGTGGCAGATACATTGCTTCTCAAGGTTCACATGCTTTGCATGTTTCTGAAAGGTTTTAATTTTTAACAATGTGTGTGTATTATTTAATCCTCACCTGAGGATATGTTTATTAATTTTAGAGAGAGAGAAAAAGGGGAGAGAGAGGGAGAGAGGCACACACACACATTGATGTGAGAAACAGCAATTGGTTGCCTCCTGTACATGCCCTGACTGGGAGTCAAACCCTCAGCCTAGGTGAATGCCTGACCAGGAATTAAACCCATAAACTTTTGTTACATGGGATGATGCTCCAACCAACTGAACCACCTGCCCAGGACTATAACAATTTTTTAACATGCAGAGGATAGTAAATCTACACAGAAGTGTATCATATAAGGGTGGTGAGATTGTGATGATTCTTTTTTTAAATTTGTGCTTTAAAATTATAAAAAAATACAAACAATTCAGGATGTAATTGAAAATGATTGCTTTACTCTTTTGATGCATTGTGAGGCTTTTTTCCCTGCAGTGCTTAACAAAAAATATTATGTTGAAATTAAACTTACCCATTTTGAGTTTTGGCTCTGATCCTTAGGTGGACTTTCAATCCTGCCGTTCTCACTAAAGCAAACATTGTCCGGAGTGGGGATGCTGCTCAAGGTGCAGAAGGAGGCACCTCACAGTTTCAAGTGGGTGATCTTGTGCAAGTTTGTTATGATCTGGAAAGAATTAAACTTCTGCAAAGAGGACATGGAGAATGGGCTGAAGCTATGCTCCCAGTAAGTATATATAAAATACTTTTGGACTAGGAATTATACCATGCTTATGTAGTTTTTTAAAGTATTTTAATTTTAGAAACTAAATTAGCATAATCATTGTGTTCTTCATTGGCAGCCAGGCATACTTATGTCTTTTATTTTCTAATTTCATTAAATTAGCCAGGGGAGGTCCAAAAAAGAATACAGTTAATATTTTTTGATAGAGCTATTAGTGGAGGATGTAATGTAGGAGTAAGGCCTTAATTGGGACTAACTACTATGATTGAAAATCAAAATATTAGTGAATAAAGAGGGTAAAAGAGAGAACACTAGAATGACAAATTTCAATATTGTATGTACTAGGCAATCAATAGACAATATATTTATATTTTTTAAAATAAATGTCTCTATTAGGAAAGTGTATTGTAGTTTAATATAAAGCTTTGCTATAAACTTTATATTTGAAAGAGAAAAACAGTAGGAGATTAATCATGAAGTTAAAAAAAGTGTATATAAAAAGGGAATAAGATATATGGGACAGAAGTAGACGGGAGACATCTTTGAATATGTCTTGTTTTATAGATTGATTTGAAACCATGTATTTTTTACAATTTTAAAACAAAATAAAAAATGAAACGCCTAAAAATGTAAAACAAAATGAAACAAACCTAAATGTGTTTCCTGTTGGCATAATCATATAGAAAGGAAACTCCAAATGATTTTTGAAAACAGTAATTTGTTTTTATATTCTTATAGGAGAAATATAGCCTATAGACCTACATGGAAAAGAAATATTTAACAATTTTCAGAAATCTAATTGTTTGTGATAGTGTTGATATGATTTTGAGATTATTGTTTAATATGACAAAAAATGAGTAGTTAGAGATAATTCAAATTCTTTTATCCCCACTGACCTTAAGAATCAGAATGATCAGAATTGGAAAAGGAGATACAGATGTAAAATAGAAGAGATTATGTAAAAACCCTATGGCCCTGCATTTATTTTATCTTTTAAAGATTTTATTTATTTATTTTTTAGACAGAGGGGAAGGGAGGGAGACAGAGAGGGAGAGAAACATTGATCTTTGCCTCTTCTATGTGCCCAGACTGGACCAAGGACCGAACCCACAAACCAGCCATGTACCCTGACTGGTGGCCCTTCGCTTTGTAGGACGACACCAAACCAACTGAGCCACACCGGTCAAGACTGTTTTATCTTTTAAAACAAAAAGTAAAACAACCCCCACCCCTCATTCTTAGCTCTGTACATGACAAGGCCTTGAAATGAAATAGTGACCGTTCCAGTAATAATAAACATTAGTGCCTAGATTATGGTCTTGGAATAGCTTTTTCTTTTGTAATGAACTAGGGATCTTTGGAGAAATGGCTAATTATAGCTCTTTGGTAGGAAGTGAACAAGATGAACCTTATACCAAATTATTGGAAATTTCTAGTTCATGGTAAGAGGATCTATCAGCCAACTTGAAGGATGTCTTACAGAGACAGATGAAGCTACTAAACTATACCAAGTAGCAAAATTCAGATTGTAAGAAACTACAGGAAAAATTACCCTGTTCCTTTAGCAAATAATTTCCAAAGGGGAAAAAAAAAAACACTATACATTTTATTTGGAGCTTGATTTAAACAAACTAAAAAAAAAAATTATGAGGCATTTGGGAATTTGAACCCTGACTGGTATTTTATGTATTAATGATAATTTTGTGTGGGTTGATAATAGTAGTATAGTTATGTTTTAAAGAGAGTTTACATCAAAAAATAATATAGGAGGGGAGAATAGGTAGGGAAAACAAGATTGGCCACGAGTTGATAATTGTTAAATCTGGTTGATGAATACATAAGGATTCAATATTGTCTACTTTTGTGTGTTTGAGACTTTCCATAATGAGTGATTAAGGAGAAAAGAAAAAACGCAGCCTCATAGAGTTTGAGATGATGATGGAAGATTCCTAATTAGAAGTGAAAATGTCTAATGAGAAGTTAAAATTGGTGGGTGCTGGGGGGAAACTTCAAAGCATGGCTAGAGAAATATATTTTCAAGTCTTTTGAAATAAAATGATAGTTGTCAATGGGTATTAAATTTTAAAGAAAAAAGTAAAAAAGCAAAAGAATACATTTTGGGAGAATGAACAGATTTAGGGATCTGAAGAAGGAAAAGGAGTCAATGAGTGGAGAAAGGAGAGAAACACACAGAAAGATTAGACTGTCATCCAGAAATTAAGGGAATAGTTTCAAGAAGTTGGGGTCAGATACTATACAAGGTCAAAAGAGAAAACAAGTCAAGGGCAATTTCTTCTGTGTAAGGAAGTAGTCAGATAATATTACTGTTACTCAATTTTCTAGTATTGTTATTTGCTGTTCTATTGTGTTTAAGAGAACGAGTTTTGGAACTGAGTTTGAAATGGGGCAAATACTAGCACTTAACTTTCAGGGTTATGATATTTGGTGGGTAAATACAAAGCTCTTAGAACAATGATTTTCAATCAGTGTGCTGCAAAGGCATACCAGTGTGCCAGAATAATTTTTAAAACATGCAATTCTTATTTAGTCAGAGGCACTGACCTTTTCTCCCTTAATTGCCAAACCTGCCCCCACGACCCCCCCCAAAAAAACCCCAAACAACAAAAAGCAACAGCAGCCCTGGCTGGTGTGGCTCAGTGGATTGAGAGCTGGCCTGCGAACCAAAGGGTCACTGATTTGATTCCCAGTCAGGGCACATGCCAGGGTTGTGGGCGAGGTCCCTAGTTGGGGGTGCAGGGGAGGCAACCACACATAGGTGTTTCTCTCCCTCTCTTTCTCCCTCCCTTTCTTCGAAAATAAATAAGTAAAATCTTTAAAAAACAAAACAAAAACAACAGCCAACACAACAGTAACCATTCAGTGTGAATGCCTTGTCTTGAACCATAAATATATAGATCATATAATAGAGTTGCATCTTATTGGTCACGTTGCTTAATAAGGTTGCATCTGATTGGTTAATTCTTGGTACCAGAAATTCTTACTTACAAGTATGGGCACCTGATTTTTTAAAATGTCACTTTGAAACAAAAGTGTAGGTAATTATTATTATTTTTCTAAATCAGTCAAAAGTATACCTATTTTTTTGTCGAATAGGTGAAAAATATAATACAGTTTTTGGTGTGCTGCAGAATTTTAATAATTAGTTAATATGTGCCATGAAATGAAAAAAGTTCATCACTGTTTTAGAACATTAGAACAGCCCTGCCCAGTGTGGCTCAGTCAGTTGGATATTGTCCTGTAAACTGAAAGGTTGTGGGCTTGATTCCTGGTCAGGGCACATGTCTAAGTTGTGGGTTCGGTCCCTGATTGGTCAGGGTGAGTATGAGAGGCAAGCAGTGGATGTTTTCTCTCACATTGATGTTTCTCTCCCTCTCTTTCTCCCTCCCTTCCCCTGTCTCTAAAACCAATAAGTATCTCCTCGGGTGAGTAAAAAAAAAAAAAAATCCTTTAAAAAAAAGATCATTAGAACAGCATTTGCCACCATGGTAAGAACTGCTGTGGCTGATTGTGTTCTGTACCTAATTGCCCTTTTTATATCATATTTAATAGGCATGTTATTTCGACACACTTAAGTTTTTTAATCAGGCATGATTCTAAAAAGGATTTAAACATGGATGTAAACTTTGAGCCCTTTTTGATTTAATTTTTTTAAAATTATAAATCAGACTTTATATTTTTAGGTTAGATTGATGATGGATTTTGTACTACTTGAGCTGTAAGTTCTCAAGATATATCTTTTGGGTTAAAAAAAGGGTTGAATATCCAGAAGTAAAATTTTGTGAACTTTTATGAATAAGATAGATTTGTGATTTATTTACTTATATTTTTGTGGAAGTATAATAGTTTTATTTTATTAAAATATTTTTAAAAGATAATCTTTAATGTTCATAACTAATGAATAACTCATTTGAATATGATTATCCTTTAAAAGTTTTTCTTTAGGAACAAAGAAAAATGAATTCCTTAAACATGTAAAAACTGGTGATTGATTTTTATGGTATATACTTTGGACTTGGAAACATTAATCTAATTTTTAAAAAGACTTTAGGTAAAGTTGGCCGAGTACAACAGATTTATTCAGACAGCGATTTAAAGGTGGAAGTTTGTGGTACATCTTGGACATATAATCCAGCAGCAGTTTCCAAAGTGGCATCTGCAGGATCAGCCATTAGCAATGCATCTGGTGGTATGTTTTGTTTCATGTTTCTTTAAAAGTAATATGATTTATATTAGAACCTTTGCTAATTTTCCAATTCTAATATATTGGTAATGTATGTTTTTCTCCCACATCACAAAACTTTGCTTGAATGTTAACTACCTTTTAAACTTTTACAAACCTTTTTTCCTTTTTCTCTTTTTCATGCAATGAACCACCTTTGTTCTGGCTGAGGTGTGCACTGGAAAAATTCCATAAATATGTGCTTTTTCTTGGATATATTGAGAGCTTTTCCCCCTCAGATCTCAGATATCTAAAATTCAGCATTATCCTTTGTAGTAAGAACTTTTGTTTTCTGCCAGAGTACCATCACTTTCTTAGACTCTTCATTTTCAACATTATTGCTAGCAGATGGCTTTCTTTCTGTTTTTATATCTCAGTGATTTTTTTTTCTCTTACTATTCAGTGAGAGTTACTATACATGTCACAATGAGTAGAAAACCATATTGAGATGTGAATATGCTGGAGGCTGAGTAGACTCAAGCCTAGTCTTTCCTTTCTATGCTCCAGCTTTGTGTATCGAGACTCATTGTAAGTTACTGATGTATATTGTTGTCATCCAGAAAGGAAGATAGGACCATATAACACAGAATGGTAAGAAAGCAAAGGAAAACATACATTGACCTCCAATTTTATTTTTTACTGCATTCTACTTCTTCTGCTTTTGTCTCCTCTTTCCTGCTGTAATTTACTGGTGTGCTTAAAGTTTAAATCAGGAGGGGTTTATTTTTACCTTGAGGTTAGATGGCATCACAACAGGCTGACTACATGCAAATTAAGAGTGGAGGATGGTTAATATCCTTCTTTCAAGAAATGTGGACCTAGTGCCAGTCCTCTGCCCTACTTTGTGATTTCTTTGCTTTCCAATAAGAAGATCAAGAATTAAGTAGTAGAACTGGGCAGGTTCTCTACTGATTAGTGCTATTTAGAAAAAATATCTTAGGAAAAGGTCTATCAATCCCTTGTTTTGTTGTTTTAGTCTAACTAATCAACTGGCACTTTTGAAGTAACGTTAACACTTAGGTGTCCATTTTAAACTGAAAATTGGTTTGTCTCTAAAATATTTCCCCTGATATTATAGAGATTTCATTTCTTTTGAATCATCATAATTGATGTTGATTTATTTTAAAGGTCTGTAGCATTGAGCTCAGAGAGTCAGCATGGTGGTATGCTTCAAACCTGAAAGGAAATTTGTCTTATTATGGTATCCATATTGTGTTGTGTTCATTTCTAATATCTTTGGGATGACTTCCAGCTCTTAAATTATTATTGTAACTCTGTACTTTTTCTGAAATTTTAACTTGAAATGCATGAATTGGAGAAACCTGGAATACTTATCAGCTCAAGTTTAATGCAACTTTATATACCGTATTTTGCTGTATATAATGTGTACTTTTTTGTCCAAATTTTTGAGGAAAAAATAAGTATGCACATTATATGTGGGCAATATCTGAAATATCTTGCATCTGTTCTTGTGTGTTGTAATTATTTATTACATAAAATTTCTTGTACAATAATATGTTAAAAAATAAATGCTAAAATTCCTTTATAATACAAGAACAAGTATCCAAAAATAAATAAATAATTGAATTAAAAAATTAAAATGAAAGATTCCCCCCCCCTGAAAGTTTGTGCCAAAAACTTGAGTGCGCATTGTACATGACAAAATATGGGATATATTTATATATGTAGTAATAATTATAACTTGCATAGTAAAAAAATAACATTAATGATAGAAATAATAAAAAAGAAGAGTATATATTATAGGCATATGGTTAATGCTTGTCTGTTAGTAAAGTTTGAGATGCTCCTATATTAGCAGCTTTATTTGATGCTTTACAGAAAGACTCTCCCAACTCTTGAAGAAACTATTTGAAACCCAAGAATCTGGTGACCTCAATGAAGAATTAGTTAAGGCTGCTGCCAATGGAGATGTTGCTAAAGTGGAAGATTTGCTAAAAAGACCAGATGTGGATGTGAGTGTTTTAAAAATTATTTTGAAGCATACACTAAAATAGAATAGAATAAAATAGAACTTCAGTAATTATTTAGATTTTGCCACATTACTTAAATAATTAGTGAGACTTTGCCACATGTACTTTAGTTCTTTGTTTTTCTAAGATGGTGTAAAGAAGACAGCAGTCATCATTTTTCAGTGTGTATTTCAAAAAGATACTGAAATTTTCTTATTTTAACACTGTGACCTTTTTTATTTTATGATTGACAGAATTTACATTTATGTTTTTAAGTGGTTAGTATCCTTTGGGAAATTCAGTGAGTTTTTTTCATGTAAATGTCATTATGTGTTAAACATAGATTTTTGTAAATATTATAAGCAATTTTCTATCCTTTTTAAGACATTTAATCTAAACTTTTTACCCTCTGCTCCCTGTGAAAGTTGATTATTTCATAGTTTGTAAGGCAGATGAATTAGAGGTCACATACTTTGTAAACTTTAATAGTTTATGTTGTAATCTTAATGTTCACATAAGCCATATTTTAAATGGGCCATTTTGGTTCTCACTTAGTTGTCCATTGGCTTTGCCATGCGCCAGTATGTTGGTCAGTGCCTGCCAAGATTCTAAGTGGAGTGGCAGTCACTGTGTTATGAAGGCTTTTGTTGCCGCACCTTTGTATGTAAATGTAGAAGACAGTTTGAAGAAGACTAGATCTTTAATTGTAAGGTATAAACATCTTACTCCTATGAGCTCATGTAGCATTTTAGCAATTGCAGCAGCACAACAAAGAGGTTTCTCGATTGGTTGTAAGATATATCACAAATGATTTGTTTCTGATATTAAAGTACCAATGTTTTTGTGTTTGAAATACAGACACAGACTTTTTATATTCATTCAGGCAGATTTACATTTTATTATATTTAATTTTTTAACTTACTAATTTATCTTGGTTATTTTTTAACAGTGCCATACATTCTAAAAATTAAAAAAAAACAAATAGTTCTACAAAATTTGTTAGGAAAAATGGCATCTCCTTCTCAACCTTATTGCTCAGTTCTTCAAAGGCAACTATTTTTGCCTCTATAACCACTTCCAAACAAACTTCATGTCAGAGGGCCAGTCTTCAGATGTCTCGTGATTCTTGGTTGTCCATTTATCTATAATAATGGCCAGTAAAAGGCTTGTTTGGAAGGTTTTTTTGTGTGTCTGGGTTTGTCAACTATGGACTTCATTGCAGGGTGATCTGGGTGGGTGTTTCCTTGGGTTATTCCTGGGTATTGATCATTAGGTCTTTTCTCTTGGGCTGGTCTGTCTCTAGAAAGACCTCTTGATTCTCCTGCTGGATATAAATGTGGCTGCCAACCTTATGAATATTGATTAAGGGAAGAGGGCCTGAGTTTTTTAGCATTTAGTATGTGAATATTTACAAAAGGGTTCTGTTTATAGTACTTTGCCTCACCCTTAACAGTGACTAATGACTCTTTACTGTTTTCTGAGAATAAACTTTCAGGTTTCTGTTAGTGTGAGGGTGGAGCAGTAACTCAGCTGTGCAGAGTGAATCCAGGGATCTAAATGCTTTGTAAACAGACTGTCAACCAATGCTGCTGTGTTTAGCACCCATCACCACATTATCCCTGTATTCAGAGGTCATCAATTCTGAACCTTTTGGGTTTCCTTATCAAAATGGTTGCTTTCTAGGTGTTTCTTACAGCAGGTTTAGGCCTGCTATCCAGCTTCCTGCACATATCTCTCTGTATGTGGGTGTGTGTGTGGTTTTTATTTCACTAGTTCTAATTATCTTTTTGGACTGAAGCTTAGAAGAAAATAAAACTTTACTCTTGTTTCAGTATGATGCCATAAATAATGAAAATAAATGCAATCCATCCTTTAATTGAAAAAACACTCTCACAAGGATATACTTTCTTTTTAAAAAGGTTTATTAAGATACAGTTGTTTTGCACCATGAATAAAAATATAATGATACACTTCTAAAGTCTCATAATACTGAAAAAAATTTCCATCTCTCCTAATGGGATTCCCCCCGCCCCTTACTTTTTCTGGTTTTCATAGTGTCTTTCTCTTGATTTTTAGATGTCAAGAATTCTTGAACATCTCTATGTTTTTTATCCCTAAAGTTTTCTTTTTTTCTTACCAATCTGGGTTATAAATTTCTTTTTAATTAAAGTGTAGTTGATGTACAATATTATATTCGTTTCAGGTGTACAACATAGTGATTTGCTGTTTACATACCTTGTGAAGAGATCACCATGAGAAGTCTAGTAACCCTTTTTCACCATACAAAGTTACTGTGATATTACTGATTGTATTTCCTATGCTATACTTTTACATCCCTGTGGTTTATGTGATAACCATAGTTTGTAGCTCTTAATCCCCTTCACGTTTTTGCCTGTCCCCCGACCACCCAACCCTTTGTCAACTTATCAGTTTATTGTCTGTCTCTGTGAGTCTGCTTCTTTTGTTTGTCCATTTGTATAGTTTTTTAGATTCCACATAGAGTGAAATAATACACAGTATTTGTCCTTCTCTGACTTATTTCACTTAGCATAATATCCTCTAGGTCCTTCCATATTGTCTCAAATGGTAAGATTTTATTTTTATTTTTTGGCTGCGTAATACTCCATTGTGTGTGCATCACTTCTTCCTTATCTACTCATCTATCGATGGATACCTAGGTTGCTTCCATATCATGATCTTTGTAAATAATCCTGCAGGGAACATAGGGGTGCATATGTCTTTCAAATTAGGGTTGTTTTTTTTTTAAATTTATTATATTTTTTATTTTTTTACATCAAAGTTTTTAAAAATTTTGGTTTACATTTTATATTGTTTTGTATTAGTCTTGGGTGCATAGCATAGTGGTTAGACAATCACATACTTTACAAAGTGCCCCCTGATATTTCCAGCACCCACTGGCACCATACATAAGTGTTTCATTACTTCGGATGAGCACCCAGAAAAGGAATTGCTGGGTCCTTATCTCTTTTTACAGCCTTTCTGTCTTTTTTTTTTTTTTTTTTAAAGCATGGGTAGGAACAGTAGGTATATGGGAAATCTCTGCCTTTTTGCTCAATTAAGTTCTTAAAAGTAAGACTATTTAAAAACGTATTTATTTTTGTTTCAGGTGTGCTACCCAGTGATAAGACATTTTAACTTATGAGATGATCACCTTGATAAATCTTGTACCCATTGACAGCATATGTAGTTATTACAGTATCATTGATTATATTCCCTGTGCTGTACTTTTTACATCCCTGTGACTATTCTTTAACTACCAATTTGTATTTCTTAATCCCTTCACCTTTTCTGCGCATTTCCCCAACCCCCTTTCCCATCTGGCAAATGTTGAAATTTTCTCTGTGTCTGTGAGTCTGTTTCTGGCTTGTTTGTTTTTTTATTTTGTTTTTTTAGATTCCACATATAAGTGGAATCATAAGGCATTTGTCTTTCTCTCTGTGACTTATTTCATGCAGCACAATAGCCTCTAAATTCATCCATTTGTTGCAGATGGCAAGATTTCATTTTTTTTTTTTATGGCTGAGTCATAATTTTATTGTATATACATACTACTTCCTTATCCATTCATCTCTTCATGGACACTTAGGTTGCTTCCATATCTTGGTTATTGTAAATAATGCTGCGATGAACATATGGATGCATATGTGTTTTTGATTTAGTGTTTGGGGTTTCTTCAGGTAAAGACCCATAAGTAGAATTGCTGGATCCTTTGTTATCTCTTATTACAGCCTTTGTTTTAGTGTCTTTTTCTGGTGTAAGTATTGCTACCATAGATTTTTTTTGTTTATTTGATTTCATTTTCACAAACTATCTTTTTCCATCTCTTTATTTCAGTCTATGTGTCTTTTGATCTGAAGTGAGTCTCTTGGAGACCGCATATGTAAGAGTCTTGTTCTGTTACACAGTCAGCCACTGTATGTCTTTTGATTGGAGCATTTAATCCATTTGCATTTAAAGTATTTGGTGATGGATAGCATTAATAGGCATTTTACTCATTTTTTAAAAATCCTTTTTTCCTTTTTCTTAAAGAAAACCCTTTAACATTTCTTGTAATACTGGTTTGATGGTGATGAACTTCTTTTAGCATTTTCTTGTCTAGGAAGACATCCCTCGATTCTAAATGATAAGTTTACTGGGTAGAGTGATCTTAGTTGTAGGTCCTTGATTTTTATCAGTTTGTTATTTCTTGCCAGTCTCTTCTGGCCTGCAAACTTTCTGTTGAGAAATCAGCTGACAGTCTTATGGGAGCGCCCTTGTAGGTAACTAACTGCTTTTCTCTTGCTGCTTTTAAGAATCTGTCTTTAACTTTTGGCATTTAAATTATGATATGCCTTGATGTGTGTCTCTTTGGGTTCATCTTGTTTAGGATTGTCTGTGCTTCTGGGATTTGTATGTCTATTTCCTTTACTAGGTTAAGGAACTTTTCCATCATTATTTTTTCAAAATAGGTTTTCAATTTCTTGCTCTTTCTCCTCCTTTCAGGACCTCCCTGATGTGAATGTTGGTATGCCTGAAGTTGTCCCAGAGGCTCCTTAAACTATTCTCCTTTATTTATTTATTTATTTATTTAATTTTTTGCTGTTCTTATTGGTTATTTCCTGCTTCCTTATCTTTCAAAGATTTGCTTTGATCCCTGCTTCATCTACTCTACTCTTGATTCCCTATAATGAATTCATTTTAGTTATTCTGTTCTTCATTTATGACTGGTTCTTTTTTATGTTTTCTATCTCTGTTTTTACATTTTCTGTCTCCTTGTTGAAATTCTTGCTAAGTTCATCTATTGGCCCCCTACCTATTGAGCAGCTTTATATCCAGTGTTTTAAACTCTGTATCTGGTAGATTCCTTGTCTCCATTTTGTTTAGTTCTTTATCTAGAGTTTTGTTCTGTTCTGTCATTTGGGACATGTTTCTTTGTGTCCTCATTTTGGCTGCCTTCCTGTGTTTGTTCCTATGTATTAGGTAGAGCTACTATGTCTCCCAGTCTTGATAAAGTGGCCTTTGTCATAGGTGTCCTGTAGGGCTTTGTGGCCCCTTGATTTCTGTTGGCACATCAGTGGGAGGAATTCACACTCAGGTCAATCAGCTGCGAGGACTGACCACCACTACAGCAGAGGAGCATTTGTGCAAGGGTTGATTCCATGCATAGAGCAGACTTGCTTCAGCAGGACTTTGGTGCCCAGTGAATCCGCCCTTTGAGTGTGTTTCTCATGGAGGTGATTGGGTGGTGCTCTGGTGTGGTCTGAAGCTGTCCACTGGGTATGTTGGCTCTAGGGCCTCCCTAGATGTGCAGGCCAAAATCATCTGCCACTTGTGCCCTTCCTAGGGAGACCTGGCATGAGTTACAGAGCATTCTGCAGATGGCTGCTTCTGGTCCTGGGCTTGGAGGTGCCCTTGAGAGGCGCAAACTGAGGCTGGCTGCCACTAGAGCCAAGCTTGGGACCACTTGACAAAGATACAGGGCACACCGAAGCAAGATACTGCTTGTTTGAGGTTTGTGAACCCTTGAGAGATTTTGGAAGAGTCCTGTAGCCTTTGTTTTATAGTCTATTTTGTCTAGTATAAGTATTCTTTGGTTCACAGGCAGGCACTCAATCTACTGAGCTATGCCAGCTGGGGCTTAGTATAAGTACTCTTATCCTAGCTTTTTATTTCTATTTACATGATACATTTTTTTCTAATCCTTTAGTTTCAGTCTGTGTGTCTTTCAATATGAAGTGAGTCTCATGTAGGCAGTATATTTAAGGGTCTTTTTTAAAAAATGTGTTCAGCCATCCTATATCTTTTGAATGGAACACTTACTTGAAGTAATTATTGATAGAAGTATATGTATTGCTATTTTATTTGTTTTCATACTAACTTTATAAGTGATTAGTTTACTACCTTTACTATATGTTTGCTTAAGCCAGTGAGATTTTTATTCTTTCATATATTTTCTTATTTATAGTTTTGGCCTTTTCTTTTTCAATAAAGGATTCCTTTATCGTTTCTTATAATGCCTGTTAATTTGTGTGAGCCCTTTAGCTTTTACTTCTCTGGGAAACCATCTCATTCAATTCCGAATGCTAACCTTTCCCGGTAGAGTATTGTTGGTTATTGGTTTTTTTCCCTTTTACCATGTTGAATATACATGCTACTCCCTTATGCCCTACAAAGTTTCTGTTGAAAAATCAGTTTATGGTGAGTTAGGCACATTCCTTTGTATATAGCTGGTTGTTTTTCTCTTGCTGCTTTTAAGCTTTTCTCTTTAACTTTTAACAAATTAATTAAAATGTGGGTCCCTTTGTTCATCTTGTTTGGGACTGCGTGTCCTTCCTGGACTTAGATGTTTGTTTTCTACAGCAGGTTAGGGAAGTTTTTGGCTCTTTGGTCTTCTAGTTGGGTAATTTTCACTATCCTGTCTTTCTGATTGCTGATCTGTTCTCTATCACCTGATCTGCTTTTGTTTCCCTCTAGTATAATTTTTTTTTCATTTCAGTTGTTATATTCTTCAGTTTTGATAGGTTCTTTTTCATAATTTTTATCTGTTTGTTAAAATTCTCATTACTTGTCTGCAGAGTTTTTTAAGCACCTTTTGGACTGTTACTTTGAACTGTTTCTATAGTAGACAGCTTATCTCTTCATTTAGTACTTTTTTCAGGGATTTTTGTCTTGTGTTTTTATGTTTGCAACATGTTCTTTTGTCTCCTCATTTAGCCTGTTTGCCTGTATTAAGAAGGTGCCCTGGGGGGCCTGGAGATGGAATCCTTCTTTTTCATGGGATCCAGATGCTCCAGAGGTGTTCCCTGTATGGACTAGTTTGGCCTCTTGTTGTACTATGGTCACACTGATAGACGAGGCTAGACCCTGGCCTGGATGGCTGAGGGCTGGCTGCGACTGTTGCAGTGTGCTGATGTGCAGGCAGGCCTTTGGTGTAGCTGGCTGTGAGGCTCAGCCTTGAATTGTAGACACACTGTTGTATGTTGGTGCCAGTGGAGGCTGTCCACCGGGTATGGCTGAGCAGGAGCTGCTTTGGAGGGGTGCCAGCCTGGGTGGGTCCTCAGGGAAACAGGGTGGGGTTAGCAGTGTTCAAAAGTCTTAATGGAGAGTGTCAGAAATGGTGCCTGCCGGTGTCAGATCAGTTAGGTGCAAGGAGAGTAAAGAAAGGGGAAAAAAATGATGCTCACCACCACTTTTTATCCTGGATAAAGTTCCAACAGTTCTGAGACCCTCCAGCACATGCCCTAAAATTAGTCAATGTATCACCTTCACGAATGACCCAGGTGCTTTTTAAACTGCTGCCTCTGTGCTGGGACTCGAAAGGAGCACAGTTTTGATTTTCTGCAGCCCTTTGGCTCTCCAGACATAAGCCCTGCTGGTTTTCAAAGCCAGCTGTTACAGGAGCTTTTTTTCCTGGTGTAGGTTCCCTGGGCTGGGGCTCAGATCCCTTGCTTTTCCAGGGGGTGGGGACCTCTTTGGTTGTGATCTCTTTCACAACCACAAACCACTTGTGGGTTACTGCACAAGAAGTGGTGATTTTGGTGGGTGTTAATTCGACTTAGTCTCTACTCCTTCTACACATCTCGATGTGGCTTTTAAAAATATCTGTATTTGCAGAAAAGTCTTTCAAGTCATTCACGTCATTGCTGGACAACTGTTAAAGAACCATTGGTGTTGTTGGTATAAATAAATCATTCTCAGATAGTTGTTATATATGTAGTTGTAGTTTTGGTGTCAATGAAAGGTGGTGAGCTCAGACAGAGTCTTCCTACTCAGCTATCTTGAACCCAAAGCCAGGAGACTTTCTCTTGAATGCCAGTGTATCTTGCTTGAAATGTCATTCTTTGCAATTGGTATGCTGTCCTTGCAACAAATTGTGTCTCTGGATGGCTGAGTCCTATGCAGGTAAAGAGAGCTACCAATCAGCTTTTCAATGTCAGATACAAATGGAAACTAAGGATCAGAGATCCTTAGTTTCTTGCTACAAATTGTGCTGTCCTTGCAACAAATTGTGTCTCTGGATGGCTGAGTCACTCTTCCAGTTACTTCTTTTCTTTTTTATTTTTTTGAAATATTTTATTTTGTCCTTTTTTTTTTTTTTTTTTTTGTATTTGAGGTCTTCCTCAAATCTCTGATCCTTAGTGTCCATTTGTATCTGACATTGAAAAGCTGATTGGTAGCTCTCTTTACCTGCATAGGACTTTGCATTATGGTGATTGTGTGTATATAGCATTTTTTGGATCTCCAAATGCCATCCTCTGAGGGTCTGTTTTCTAAGGCTGTTAAGTTGTTTGAGGAAAGAAATCTTTTTCCTGTCTGTGGCTTAGATGCATGGCTGCTGCTAAGGTTCTGTCCTTGGGTGTGAGGAGTGGGCCTGGAGTGTGGCCATTGCACATCAGATGTATACTTGGGGTTCCTATTGTTAGCCCTCTAATGTGATTGCATTTGCAGGCTTTGAATTTGTCAGGGGTTCCCAACATTTGTCTTCCTCTTCTCTGTAAAGTCAATTAAAACTTCTATATCTGCTTTCTCTTTTTCAAAAATGTGTTGTTTTTTCTTGTTTGTTTGTTTTTTTTGATGTTAGCTCTCCCTTTCCCCTGTCTTTTATGGCTTTTTACATTTTAAATTATTTTACTCTCTTTTTAGTGTAATCTCAGGAGGGACAGGATATAAACATGTGGTTAGGATGTCATCTTTAATTGTTTTTTATGGTTTTATGGATGGTGGGAGTACATGAGGTAGGATTAAGGCATTGCAATTAGTTTTGGGTATGTTCATGGGTAAGTTATACATTTATACAACATCTAAAGTATACACAAGGTTGGAAATTACTGCTTATCATAGAATAGTTGTATATAGCTACCCTGGTAACTCATTTATGTATATATCCTTATGGTAGTTTACATACAATTGGTATTCAGTTGTTGAATTGAAAATATTTACACTGTAGTAAACTTTTTTTCTAAAAAATTTCCATCATGTCATTGCTTTTTTTTCTTGAAATAGGCTCTGAGATTTATTAATTCAAATAGAAGTACATATACAAAACTAAATAACTAATTTCTCTTTTATCTCCCCTCCTGCCTTTCTTTTTCAATTTCATAGATTGCTGAACAGTTCTTTTATAGCTCTTTGAACAGTGTAACTTTCATTTAAAAAAATGCCTGCATTCCTCTCTTGATTAGAGAAAACAGTGTCTGCTGATCAGTTCTAGGATATATAGAACACCAATCTAAATTATTTTCATAGAATCATACAGTGTGCTATATTTAAACCTTCAGCTATATGTATATATTGACTTTTTCTGATTTGTGACATTCCTTCATCCTTTTTTTTTTTTTTAAATTTAGGTAAATGGACAATGTGCTGGCCACACAGCTATGCAAGCTGCTAGTCAGAATGGACATGTTGACATTTTGAAGTTACTCTTGAAACAAAATGTGGATGTAGAAGCGGAGGTAATTAAACTAAACTTGAAAAATATTTTAAGTAAAAATGGCCTAGGAATGATACTTATATATCGTGAGATGGATTGTTTTCATTCTTAACATTTAATATTGACCGAAGGCTCTTCTGATTGAAAAAAAAGTTGACAAAAACCAACTTTAAGCATTTCTTGTTTTTCTGTGATCCCCTCAATATTCTTGGCAATAGTCCCAATTGCTGTTGGGAGCCCAGTTATGTTCCACCTAAGAATTATACTGGGAAGTTGAGGGAAGGAGAATGTAAATCATATGGGTCGAAATTTTTCCTGACTGATACTCAGAGGCCTTTATTATGTTTCTTTCCTCATAAGTGAACCAAAATATTAGAATTTGTTTAGTCTTACTGTTTCTTGACCTTAATATATATCCTTGAAGATTTTGCAATGCATGTTTATCACTTTGTATGTTTATTTATGCTTAATTTAGGGTATATCCTCATTAAAGGAAAATAAAAATTTTTTACTGTCATTGGAATTTCAGTTGAGAATTTGTATGGGTCATGTGAAAGATGGCTTCCTTTGTTGTAGTTAACTATAACCTCATTCCTAGAAATGACATTAGAATTACATTTCTTTCAGTCTAATACAATATTACTTGGGAATAATTCTTGGGAATAAGTCAAATTCTATTAAAGTTACACTAGGCAGAATGTTGCAATTTTGTTCAAATGAAATTCCCATCTTAATAAAACTTGATTTCTGAGAGCTAAATTGGTATACCACTCTGTTTTTACTAATTAAAAAATTTTAAAGATACACATTTAAGAAAAGAAGTCTTATATGTTTTTGCTTTTTTTCCTCTAACTTTATGTATTTCAAGTTGCTGGACAGCTATTTTTTTTTTAAGATTTTATTTATTTATTTTTAGAGAGGGAAAGAGGGGTGAGAAAGAGAGAGAGAGGAACATCAATGTGTGGTTGCCTCTCATACTCCCCCTACTGGGGACTTGGCCCAAAACCCGGGCATGTGCCCTAGACTGGGAATCGAACCAGCGACCCTTTGGTTCGCAGCCCGCGCTCAATCCAATGAGCCACACCATCCAGGGCTGGACATCTATCGAAGAGCCATTGGTGTTGTGGGTATCAATAAATCATCTTTGATGCTGAAATTTTCTTTTGCCTAGAAAGAGTTTGAATTTTTAAATTAGCTTATTAGATGTCTATAAACTATATGATATGTTTATTACTGCAGTGTCTTCATGAATAAGATTATATAACTTGATTTTGTTTTTACAGTAGTAATTTTTAAGTCACATCGTTCTTGGTTGTGAATTTAGGAACACGGTATGTGTTACAAGGATTTTTTTGTAATGCAAGAAAGACTTAATTTAAATTTAGCATTTTGTAAATGACAGGCAGTTACTTTATTTTGTTATTGTTTCAGTTTGGCCTGTGGAATATCCCATTTTTATTTAATGAATTTAGAAACTATAATAGCAACAACTACTAAAATATCAAAGCCCTTCTGATTATAGCTAATAAGGCAAGAAGCTGAAAACCAGATTTCTTTTTGCCTAATTTTGAAAACGTATGCTTTCTAATTCAAAATTTAAATATTAAACCTGGAAACATACAGAATATCCATAAGTTTGTGTTTCTAAAGATTTCTTGTTCACATGAGAGTCTGGCTGTTCAGAATACAGGTGCTGCAGCTGTGGAGTTGGGGACAAAGCTGGCACTGTTTTTCAAGAGTAGGTTTCTTTTTGCTTTAATTACACTCAAATACAAAACAAATGGTCATTTAATATTGGAGTTGGAGTGAGGCTCAGTAGGCTAGGTGTTTGTATATAATTTATCTTTCAGTTTGAAAACTGTCTGTTACTGGAACAGGGAGATACATGTGGACTTTACCTCCTCATTTGGATTTCATTCTGTGCATATTCTGTTTTAAAAAGCATTGTAAGCAGATGCAACTACTAGAAATGGTGTGAAAAAGGAATATTTACACTTCAGGTTAAGTTAATAACATAATTTACTAATTGGTAAAAGAAAATCTACATTTAAAAAATGGGTTAAAATATAAGTACAATTTATCATCTAAGACTAAAACAATAACTCATCAATCTCATTTTTCTAGAATATAAGAAGTAACATTATCTGTTATAAAAAGCAATATAGTTTGTTTAAAACAGTGGTTTTCAGTTGGGGACAGTTTTGATTGTCACAACTTGTTGTAGGGGTTGGAGGAGTACTTTGGAATCTAATGGGTAGAAAGTAAGGATGCTACCAGACATCCTGTGGGGCACAGGACAACTCCCACAAGAAAGCATTATCTGGCCCGAAATGCTAGTGCTAAAATTGAGAAACGCTGTTTCTCTAAAGTTTAAAAGATGGAGAAAATAGTTAATTATGTAAACCCACTTAAATTTGTGATTCATCATTAGCCATCTTTTTTATAAAGTGACTTGTAATTATTGGAAATTCTACGCATTTATAGAAGTAGAGAGAATAGTACAATGACCCTATGTACCCAACACCCCAGTTCATTTATTTTTCATGGCCAATTTTGTCTTATCTGTCCCCTGTACCCTCAATCCTCCACTGACTTGTACTGAAGCAAATATACATTTCATCTGTAAATACGTTAGTATGTATCCTGAAAGATAAGTGCTCTTTAAAAAAAAATTTATTATACCCTTAATATACTTAAAAACAATGCTTAGGGTCTTTGAAATTCTAATTTTTTTAAAAGTTTTGAGGTTAGCTGAAAAATAAGGAGAATTATATGTTTCTTTTCTAGTTGTCTCATTCTGCAATTTTAAAAAAATTGCATGAGGAAGTGGACTCAAGGTAGTATACATCAGGGCTTGCAAACTGTAGCCCACAGGCTGAATCCAGACGTCTATTTGCATTCTGTAGTGTTATTGGAATGCAGCACACTCATTCATTTGTTGCGTATCACTGCTTTTGTAGTAAAACTGCAGAGTTGACATAATTGTGACAAGAAACTGCGTAGCCTGTAAAACCTAAAATAATTTACTTTCTGGCCCTTCACCAAAAAGTTTTCTGGCCCCTAGTATAGATGATTATTGCAGATTTTTTCAATTGCTTTAAGCTGTTACCAAATAAAATTATTTTGTCTGTATCACACCTTTTGAATATGTGATAAGATACATTTTTTTCCTATTTCTTTTCTTAGGGAAAACTCAAAGAGCTATTTTGGAAAGTTGGTTATCTCCATGTATAATCTACTGAGTACAGTAGGATTACATTCTGTTTCCTTAATGTATAGGTAAAGGCACCGAGGACTCTAAGATCTTAAGTATGTTGTTATACGTTACCTAATTTTGGATCCTTGAGAACGTGATGTTGTTTTTCCTATTGATGAAATATAATAGTAAAGGTGTGGAGGTATGAATGGAAGACCAGTTTGAAAAAAATGTGTCCTTTACAGTAAGTTTTCAAATATATACTGAAGTTATCAGGAAATTTGGAGTGGTTTTATCACTTAAGGCTAATGAAAACTGTTTTGAATGGAGAGGATTAATAGTGTGGAACAATACTAGACTTTGTCAAAAAACCCATTTGGTATTAGGCAAAAAGTTTAATTTATGTACGCTTCAATTTTCTCATTTTTGATAATAACTTAAAGGATTGGGTTGTGGAGTTAGGGAAATAATTAAGACACTTTATAGTATACTACACCATGGGAATTTAAAGTGTTATTACCTGTACTTAAGTGTTCCTATTAAACATTTCTTTACAACTGGTGGAAGTTAGTTTTTCTAGAAACAGATGCTAATCCTGTCTGATTCTGCTTGTCTGGTTAGTGAAAACAAAACTGTAGAAAAATTTTATTTAACTGAAAATCTGTAAAGGAAAGGGCGAATGGACTTAAAGATTAGTCAGTTTAAGGAAATTCTTTTCTGAAAACAACTCAGGACTCAGAATAACAACTTCCAAAATGGCACTAGAAATAGTTCTTGGGGATATATATTAATTCAGGTCCTAGCCAGAGCAATACAGTGTGTGTGTGCGTGTGCGCGTGCACATACACAAAAAAGTAATAAAAGGCATCCACATTCAAAAGGAGAAGTCAAATTATCTCTGCAGATAATATAATTTTACATGTAGAAAAGTCTAAAGATATCTCTCTCTCTCTCTCTCTCTCTCTCTCTCTCTCTCGGAACTAAGTAAGAAATTCAGCAAGGTAGCAGTATACAAAGTCAACTCATAAAAGTCAGTTGTTGTTCCATACACTAACAATGAACAGTCTATGGAAGATGTTAAGAAAACAACTCTACTTACCAAAGCATGAAAAAGAATAAAATACTTAGGAATTAATTTAACCAAGGAGGTGAAAGATTTGTATAATGAAAACTAGAAATTATTGCTGAAAGAAATCAAAGAAGACCTAAGTAAATAGAAACATGTTCATGAATTGAAAGAAATAAGAATTAATATTGTTAAGATGTCAGTACTAGCCAAAGTGATCTGGATATTCAGTGCAATGCCTTTCAAGATCCCAGTGTTTTTTGTTTTTGCAAAAATAGAAAAATTGAATCTGAAATTCAATATGCATCTTCAGTATACCCGATAGCTGAAACGATCTTGAAAAAGAACAAATTCAGAAGACCTGCTCTTCCTGATTTCAAAACCTACTACAAAGCTACTGTAATCAAAACACTGTGGTCCTGGCATAAAAATAAACATATAAATGAGTGGAATAAAATAAGAGAGCCCAGAAATGAACTTTTGCATATATGGTTAAGTGATTTTTGACCAGAGTGCAAAGACCACTCAATGGGGAATGGACAGTCTTTTCAACAAATGGTTCTGGAAAAGCCAGGTAGCCATGTATAAAAGAATGAAGATGAACTCTTAGCTAACATTGCATATAAAACTAACCCAAAATAGATGTCTTTTTGTTTTTATGTCTTTCAAAAGCGAAAAGTATAAAATTTTTAGAGGAAAACATAGGGTAAAGCCCATACATTAGATTTGGCAGTAATTTGGGTATGACTCTGAAGGTACA